GGAAGACATGTGGTTGTGTGATGGAACCATGAGACCTGAGAACTGATCTGGTTTGGAGGGGTCAGGAAGGTTCCCTACCCACCTCCACATCCAGTCCTACTAAGACATGGTCTCAAGTCTGAGCTCTGGCTGAATATTTGATTAAGGAGAAACCAAAGCATTATCTTTTGCTTGAGAGTCCTCTTCTCCATCCCTCAATAAAGCAAATAACAAAATTCAATGGTATTTCACTCTTAGCAGAGGTTGTTCATACAATTTATGTTAGGCCACAGCCCTACCATTTCCTTCTTTGCTCTAAGAAAGGTAATGAAGGAGGTTAGAACACTTTTCTGCATGTCAGAATGGTAGCCTGGAATTCCCTAAGGGTTTAGCTCCTTAGGGTCACTCCCTAGACGCCACATTACTGACCAAGCCCAACGTCCACTTCAGGGTTGGGGGTCATGGGGAGAAATGCTCTTCTCACCATTGGTGAGTTAAAGGAACCAAAGAACAGTAAAGCCTGGAGAAGGAAGGAAGGCAACCTCAACTAAAACAAATGACCTTAGATCAGAAACAGTACAAACAAGATGTGGTTTGTTGTTTTTTGGTTTTTTTTTTTTTTGGTACTGGGGATCGAACTCGGGTCCTTGAGCTTGCAAGGCAGGCCACCAAACTGCTCAGCTAAATCCCCAGACCCAACAAGATGTGTTTTGATGTTGAATCAATATGGGACTCATCACACAATGTTTGAAATTAGACCTATGTTTGCCCACTTGGGAGCTGTGGTACTTCACCCATTTTCCATGATTTTCCTAACTAATCAACAGCAGTTCAGCCATTTCACTTGCAAACTCTCTCAATCTTCTGGATGGAAATCCCTCTAGGTGAAAAACTGGAACTATTTTAGAAGAGTGTGGTTCCATATCCTGAGGTTAATTGTCTCTAGACCCTTCTAGAATGAAGGTCATCATTTTTGATAAGAAATAAGATTTGCCTTAGATTTTAGTCACAGAGCACCTGAAATTGTAAGAGGAAAGGTCTATGTGGTAGGACTCTTGTCATACCGGTTACCTATACATAATCTCTACACTACATAACTGCTCATAGGAAACAGGAACAAGACTAAATTTCTCCCTAAAGGATTTAAAAGCAGAACTGGAAAAGCAGGCATTGAGGCCTCTAAGCATCTCTGGAGAAGGGAAAGGCCACTTCGGTAAGCCACAGAGAGGGAAGGAATAAACAGAAATGATTGGGGAATATTATAAAATGAAACAATCAGAGCTAAGTAGCTGGGGAGAGCTGTTTACAATTAGACATTAGGGGTCTAGAGGCAAAATTATTCGGGTTAATATCTCTTTCCCAATACCCTCCTGGACCACATCACCCTCACTTTAGTGGTAACCTGCGGTTCCTCTCATCTGAGGATAATCTACTTTTATCACTCTTCGGTGGGGATGTGGAACTTGTCCGGGTTTTATAATCGTCTGACCTCCCCAACGAGGACAGGGCATGCAGAGCTGCGGGAACGCAGAGCCAGTTCACCCAGGGCTCAGAGGTAATTGCACGCCACGCCACAAGACACTGGGGCCCTGCCCTGCAAACATCTCAAACAAGGGCATGAGCGCCAAGCCACAGGGCAAGCTGATTTGCCAGGCTCTCTTGATAACACTCCTCCTGCCCGGTGTGGTCTGCTGAGGAGACAAAAGCTGGGCCGACCTTAATGGTAGGAAGAGTCTCATGAGCTTTACTGGGTAAATTTAGTGTGATTTTAGGCTAGAGACACCCATGCCCTACTTCCCCTGATGTTCAGCCACCATGCAACTGTTCAAATTCTATAGCCAGGCCCATCTTCACTTCTGTTAAATTACCCCAAATGCCCACTGCTACTGAAAGTGTGGCTCTGACCCTGGGAACACAGCACAGTCAGCTAAGCAAGTGCAATTCCTCATGCTCTCCTCTCCAGGGCAAATCATGGTATCGTGAGAGACCACTAACCGAGACCATCACACAGAAAACTTCAACAGGTGAATGTCTCTGCTCTCAGAATCTCTGATGAGATAAATACACATAGCATAAAATATGCACTGCCATCCACTCGGCCATGAGAGCTCACTCTATATCAGAGCACAACTTCCCTCTGCTTTACAACTTCCTGTGGCTCCTTGTGCTATTGAGCACAACACTCCAGCTCCTGCACATCCCGGCCACCCTCACTGCGCCCAGGCACAGGGCAGATGTGCACAGATTGTAGTCAACTGTGCCCCTCCACAGAGGCGATGCTACACTGATCTGACCCACAGTCCACACTGTGACCCCCCGATGGCAGGAATTCCATGAACCAACAGCCTTAAATTGTTTCTCCTTCAAAAGTATGTATTGCACAGGTATAGGAAAATCCAGATTCACACTAAAGGTAAGAATGATCATTTGATTTAATAAGTATTTTAAATAGTAAACTCTCGGGCCAGGGATTTAACTCAGTGGTTCCACCGCCTGCTTCGCAACCTCAAGGTCCCGAGTTTGACCCCCGGTACCAAAAAAAAAAAAGTAGACTCTCCTGGGGCTTTTTGAATGGGAGTTGTTTGCAAATAAAAGCTTCCATACAAAAATCTTAAGCAGATATCCACTCCGTCTGCTGGTGTCGCTTCCCATCAGCTTAGTCCCAAGTGTTTAAGAAATTACCACTTGCCTCTGCTAATTCATCTGAAGTGTGAACAAGTAATTGTGACAATGTGAGAGGGGAAGGGGAAGAGGAGCAATGTAGTGGGGAGACACACTTGGCGGTGTAACAGGGTGTCGGGAATGGGCTCCTTTCTCATCTCATCATTCTTACGGTGCCCCTGGATCTGTGCCACTTTAGCCACAACGTCCCACTGCATGTTTGGCCTTTAGGCAAGGACAGGAGGGCATCGCTGCCGCACGTGCCCATCTGTGCTCAGAAGCTGTGTGAAGGACACAGGCTGCCACCGCGGAGCCTCTTTGGTATTCTGAAGAGAGCCAGGAAAAATGTCTAATCCGAGAGACAGAAGAGGCCGGGGTTTTATCCTATAAGACCATGCAAAGGAGGAGGACAGACAAGCAGGAGGTTAGAAGAGAAAAAAAATTAGTGGATCTAGTTAAAACTATCAGGAGACAAATCTGCAGCTCTTCACAATTCTATAGACTAAAACTTAAACACTTGAACACACTTCTCATTAACTCAGCACAATATATCATGAAACACGTGTACATTGTTTCAACGCTCATTATTTTCAAACACTTGGCCAAAGGTACAGAAAAGATAGATCAAAATAACAGTACACATCAGTCATTTAAAAAAGGAAAACCACAAAATATAGAAATTATAGACTAGGGGTGATTCATTTTGATCAAAAAACTTTGCTTCTGAAAAAAAAATCATATACTGCACATATTTACAAGTCACTATCAGGTCTGAGTTTAACAATAACAGTAATACTTTTAGAGTTCTTATTATGATCTAGTCTTATTCTAAGAGGTTTATACATATTTCCTTGTTTAATTTTCACAATAATTCTGTGGGGTGAAAAGAATTATCATTCTTAATCTACAGCCAAAAAATTGAAGCAGAGGTTAAGTAATTTGCCCAAGGTACAATATAACAAGCAAACAGCAGTTATTTAATTATCTTGAAACCTCACACAGATGATTAAAGAACGGTTACATAATCTAAATCAGCTAAGGAAAATGCTTTTAAAACTTCACAGACAGGTTCTTATTCACCACATCTGAAAAGCACAATTCTGTGCACGAAGGTCCACTGCTCCAAGTCTACTCGTAACCCCACCTGTTACTCATTTCTCTTTACCTAAACTGAATCGAGAGGGGGTGGGAGGGAGAGACTGGAGGAAGAGGAGGAACAGCTTGGTTAACAACAAATGAAAAGGCGCAGTGGGATGGACTAACCATTCATCATTTTAAATATTTCATATGAAGTACCTTTAAGCAGCAAGCTACCAAATATCCTTTGTCTTTAAAAAACGGAATTAACACTTACAAACAACACAAGCAGAACCGGGGGTTTGCCTCAGTGGTTCCGCCGCCTCCGTCAAACAACATACATGTTACACAGCAACAGGTAGAGCCATACACTGAAGCTGGGCAAGGCATAACATTACTGGGTTCTTGGACTTACCTATGTAAAGGGTTATGCTTTCTTTCAGGACATGAAGACACAAGGAAAACTGTTCTTTAAACATTCACAGTAAAAATTAATAATTCCTCCTTATACTCATCTGATAAATTTGAAGAGATGCATTAAATATATATCTACACTTGATCTTAGCCAAAAGGCCAAGAAGCAATGAATATTTTATCTACACTTGTTATTGAAACTATATTTGGTTTTCGATGAGAGCACTCAAAGTTGAAGTACAGTGGTACCTCAGTTAATGAAGTCATGTATCTGACACTGCCCATGGGAATTTTGCTTTGGGCAGTATTTTTCATTAGTCTGGTATACTTGTATGTAGTGACTGTTAAAAATAAGGGGGAAAAGGTGCTAAGGTGTTCATGTTTTGATAGCACTGTTCCTGCTAGCTATTAGCTGGGCTTACTGGTTGTGACATGGCTATAACACATGCTTAACTACTAGGCTGGTTATTATGTATGGCTAATAAAAATCACTCTCACAACTTTATAGTCACATATCCCCCATACAAAAGTATACCACAACATTTAATTTATCTTTTGAGTGGGTTACAAGGGAGAGAAGAAAAACACAACTTACCTGTGACGAAGAGCAAGTGTATGAAACAAATCCTTGGCCTACGTTAGTTTTTGTATTGCCAGTGCCTACCACAGTGCTTGTGTGTCAAAGACACTTAGTAACTGCTAGGCTCTTAGCAAAATAATAGACCTACTCTATTTGATGGTCTGTTCTTTCTCCTTCTTGAAGACTTAACAGATCACTTTCATCTGGAATATACGCTTAGTCTAAACAAGAGCTGACTGAAGTGAATGAATCAAAAAGAGGATGACATGCTTATAATGAAGTTGCTTACCTTACAAACAGAAAGAACATTAACATTTAGCAGTCTCTTGATCATCTGCAAAAAAAAAAAAAAGATAATTTGATATAGATTTATCATAGAAATAATTTTCATATTTGATATGTGCTTAGGTAATTTGGTGATGCACTGGAAGTTTCCCCAGATATTACAGAGACCTTGAAAAACAAGTGAGGTGGGGAAAAGAGGCAGATTTTATTTTACTTTCGTTATTATAGTATTTTTCTGGCACAAGCAGCAATTTATGCTAATAAGCAAAATCTAAGGTAAATGTACAAAAAAAATTTGGAAATGAAAGACACATCTAAAATAAATAGAACACTTTGCAATTTCCCTTCTGCTAATATGGAAAGTAGAAATAAATGGATCTAAAATTTTCAACAGTTTTTAAAAAAATTACATAGTGTCTCAATGATGTGCTTTCCTAGTTTCATAAAAGGATTATAGATGTATCGGAGAGATGGCTTTCATTTTGGTAGAGCTGGTTCATCTAAATCAACCATCCTGCTAATATATTTACGATTTTTAAACTGGTTTAAGAGCTGGTTTATCTAAGTCAACCATCCTGCTAATATATTTACGATTTTTAAATTGGTGTAAAATCGTAATAAAATAGAACTGTTTTGATATAATAAAACTGATCATAAAACTAGAGCTAGTATTGATCCTGGCACTGTATATGAGTTGTAAATATTTTCTCACTCAAGGCTTATAGCATTCCTATGAAGTTGCCTGACTTACGGGGTGAGGACAGACAGACTAAGCATGGTTAGCTTCACCTCAAGAACCAAGGTGTGAGGCTCAGGCAGCTGGGCTCTGGTGCTCACAGTCTGCATCGCTGCATCAAATCATCTCACTAATACCCGAACGCATTTCTTTTGTTGCCATAAGAGACAACGAAAAACTCACATTGTCCAAATCAGGAATGTCCAAAAAGTATTCGGGATATTCATGGGACATTCCCACGTTGTTCACTGAAATAAGAGAAGATCATTAGCCAACTAACATAGATTTTTAAAAGACTCTTTGAAATAATGTGATTAAAACTCTCAAGCCAAAAAATGATACATACAATTAGATAAAATACAGTTCATGCCTGGAGTGACCTTTCCTAAACTTTTCTAACTCAAATCTGTCCATTCGTAAAACCCAGTTAAATGTCTCTTCCTTCATTAGGCCTTTCTGTGTACACTTATCATCCCTCACTGTCAAAAGGGCTTCTATTCACCTCCTACTTTCCATACCTATTCTCCCTCTGGATGCAGTTACTTGTCAATATTGCTGAAGTCTTCTCTGCAACTTAAATTTTCAGTGTAGTAGACAGAGCAGAGAGAGATATAGCGCTAGGTCAGTCACTTGTGGCAGTGAGTTTCCAGAGCTTACTTGCAAAATTCAGTCAGTTTGAACAAGTCTGAACATTCAGTGTTTTGAACAAGACCAAGAGAAACATGTAAGCAAAGGATATTAGCAAAGCAAAGCAAACTATTTAATTAGGGTTCATGCACATCCAAATAGGAATAGCATCTAAATATAATAACAGAAGGTCCAAATTAATTTTTATTTTCTCCAAAAGGCTCTCCCTCCACCAAGGGTCCCAAGAATAAATTCTCTAACAAAGTATGTTAACAAATTAAACCCAAACTAGTTGAAGGAAAGGCTTCATATTCACTTGACTCTGCTTAAACCAGTATGGAATTATAAAGGATCATTAAAGGTTACATTTGAGAGAAACCAAAATAGCTACTAAAATGCTATACATAAAATAATTCTTCACAAAGTCAGTTTATGATAATTTTTGAGGAAAAGTTTTGTCAAACTGTAGCTCCTTTACGACTAAAAACTAATTTCATCACGTACAACAAGTTCTATCTCCTTCACTCTCCCATATCTAAAAAACCATTTTATCCTTAGGTTTCTTTCTAACCCACGGAAGTATTCATGCTATCTTTCAAAATGCTAGTGGAAATTAAATAATAAAATTACACAAATCTTTTAAAATCCAGACTGGGTGGGTGGGTGAGTGTTTTGATTTCAAATCTAGGACCCTTTCATGTGCTACAAATACAACACTGGGCGAAGGAAGCCCAGGAATAATTGAGTAAGCAGGGAGGTACTGCTCTGGGTAAGGCCGAATTAACAATGGACAGTCCTCAGGTCTGTCTCTGCTCTAAATGAGCATGGGAAAGCAATCAAGCTATCTATTCGAACAGTGAAAGTGAGAATATTTAACACAGGTCTATAAGAAAACATGTTCAAACTAAAAAGTAAACAGTATCATGTAGAAGGAGCACACTTTTGCTAACGCAACTATATATCATTTTTTAAAAAATTTTTTTCAAACAAGAGTAGACCACTCAGAGCATCAAATCCAATTTCATAAGGGGAAATACATTCCATGGTGGTCACAGTGACAATTTATCTTATGCTTAGTATCAAGATTCCTAAACCTCCTCTTTCTTGGTTAGTGGCAGTTACCTTGTGTAATGTCTGCTACTCATCTTCCCACAGTAAGCTATTACTTCAGAGTCCTAGTACTTACAGAGTATAAAGAGACAATAGTTGTTCTTTTGGCACTCAGAAATGATGCTTCAAAATACGATGCCTTGGTATGTATGCTCTTTTAAATTAAAGGCATACAGGGGTTGGCAGGCTCTGGGTGAGGGTTTTCTATGGAGCTCTCTTATCTACTAAAGACTGGGTCCACCAAAGAGGAACACAATTAATTGCCTTCATGAAATTTCGTTTAACCAGGGAGGATTAAAACTCTGATCACAGAGGAGACTGAAAATCAAACATCACACTTAGAACCCAGAGAAACTGTGCCAGCCCACTGACTGTTCTGAGCCTTTTCATTTTCCCTAAAAATATTTCCCTACCCTCAGAACTGCCTATATCCCCCTTCTCCCTTCCCTACAAAGCTTCAACCATCTGGCTCTTTAAATTTCCTATTTTGTGTGGCTCCGGTGCACATGTACACGGTAATAAATTTGTATGCCTTTTCTGCTGTTGATCTGTTACTGTCAGCTTATTTTAGCACACTCAAATCTCAAGCCTTCAGAGGAAAAGTTTGAACCTCCTTACGTGCTCAAATAGTTATTTCCAGAAAGAGCAGAACAGTGGAAATCTTGGAAAGGGCAGACTCATTGCAATTATATTTTGAGACATTAGGTGGCAGCAATAACCAAACAGCAGTCAGCTCTCAGGCAAAAAGCCTAAGAAGAAAACAGGCTTTGGGTAGGAGCAAAAGATGGAAATATTCCCATTATAATTTAATCTCATAAAGAATGGGTGCAGGAAATGCCATCTCTATATTAAGAGATTAAGAGATTCTTTACAGAACTCATAAAACCAAGCTACTTTGCAAATTGTGACATTATTCAGTTGAAAATCGCTTCTACATGGTAGCATCTTAAATGAGCATTACATATTACAGTATTAGTGAATTTTCTTCAGTTTTTCAAGGGAGGCAACTGAGGTAGGTTTCATTTTTTTCAGTGACCTGAAAAACCCTTTTGCTTGTCTAATGCATTGTGTCTTTCAGAAAACAAAGAAGTTTCTCACTCAAGTGCTCTATGACTAGGAAGAGCCCCCCAAAAGAGACAAGGCAGATAGGAAAGAAAGGTGAAGACAGGCCAAGACCCAGTTCAAGAGAAGTGGAAAGAGAAGCTGAGGGCAGGCTGAGAAGTGACTCCCAGGATGGATGCTGGCAGGGGACACGGTAGGAGCTGTGCTTAACCAGCTTCTGCGGCCCCCCTCAGAACGTCGGGAAACACTGTCAACGTGTTGCCCAAACTCCACAACAATTTTACATGTTATATAAAGATTCTAAATTGTATCATACCACTTCTAAACAATCCTTCCCATATCTCATACTTCAAAGAAAAGAACATTTGCAAGAGGTTTGTGTTGTTGTTCCTAAATTCACTTGTTGCTGAGTTCACTAGACCTGGAATCCTTTATCAGACCGAGCTGCCACTGAGACCTGATGATTTCATTACCAAGAGAGAGTCTGGTGTCTGGGGTAGGTGAAAGGGAGGAGCAAACAACAACAAATTACTAGAAAATAATCTACCCCCGTGAGTAATCCCACGCAGACCATAGTCCATAGGCTTCTTTTCCTTTAGATTAATTGGAAACACAAGAAATAGATGTGGTTTAAAAATACTGTCTAATGGTTGAGCTTCCAAATTCAAGTCAAATAATGCAGAACATTCTATTTATGATATCCGAGCAGAAAATGGGGAGTTTACATTTTGGTTATATTTGTCGTTACATACACTTGGTCCAGTGCCAACACCGAGGGTAGGTCATTAATAAAAACTGCTTCCAAAGTGCTGTCACTTCATTGTATTTGAAATAAACTGACTTTTAAAAATGCAGGCCTCAATAATAGTGACTATATCAAGGGTGAGTCACTTCTGTCTTTTTTTTTTTTTTTAATCTTCATAAAAGGGGCCAGGGATGGAGCTCACTGGTAGAGCTGCACTTGCCTACTGCGGGTGAGGCTCTCGGTTTGATCCCCAGCATGGAGGGGGCCAGGGATGTAAAAGGCCATAGGTCTCAAAGTGCAATAGATCCAAAGTTCAGTTCTAGCTCCTGCTAAGAGGCAAGTGGGCCTCAGTTTCCTTATTGTTCTTCGATGTGAAATAGGGATGATACTTTAAGTTGATTCCTAGGTGTGATTATGAGATAACATGCATACAATCTTTGGCCTAATTTCTGGGACACATTAATACATAGCTCACGAGCAGTTATCATTATGTGATCATTGATTCAACAAGAATTTATTGACCTCCTACTTGGTGCCTGAGACAAAGTATCCTCCTCTTCGGGTTGTATATGATCAGCATCCAAGTAGGCAGATCCTTCTGGAAGACAGCTCTGGGCAGCAGTTAACCAGAATAGCTGTTTGTGCTGATGACATTTATTCCCAACTCCTCCTCAAGCCTCTGTACTGTATTCTCGTAGATCTAGTCCCACAGTCTATAGACAGTGCGGGGTGATGCAAAGAAATCCCTGCTTTGCCTTCTTTAGCATATTGCTGTTGCTAGCACATGTTCATACACTGACAGATGATATTTGGAACACCATGTAAAACATTTTGCAAACTTTACAGTTTTCATATACTTGCGAGTAGCAATTTCCAAATAAAAGAGAGTTTACAAGGCTTTCAATTTGCAGTGCCTTTAATCAGAAATTGAAAAATTAAGATTGAGCCAGAAGCAACACGACAGAACATTTCCCTTTCACTGTTTAAATTTAAATTGCTATGTGATCTTCATTACAGAATTAAGAGAGGATCTGCCATAGATAAAACTGGAAGAAGGAATGAGGAAAGGAGAATGACACAAGGTTGGAAGTTAACGTCAGCTAATGGGAGGAACATTTATCAATTGCGTGACTTACAGTTCTATTTACATTTCTGAAATCACAGAGGTAATTACCCAGTTTCAAGTTAAAGGTTCTGCTTTAATTAATGCCATTAGTGGTTTTTGAGTAAAAGAAAATAAATTTAAATTCTAAAAGTCTTAACGCTCACTTTAGAAATCCAATCTCAGTCAATACATCTAATGGAACTACAAGTCACTATACTTAAGTCAGATAATGTTCTTGATGAGTCTCCATGTGTGTCTGTGTCTAAATCCACATATCTATTCCGTTTACCATAACTGGCCATACACAGCTTCACTCAACACAAAGAAGACTCCCTTCTAGCACGGGAGGAAATTCGTACCCAGAGACCTACCTAAATCTCCACTTGGGTTTCTCACACACTCTCAAGATTACTATAACCCAAAGTAAAATCACCATTCCACACTTCAGAATTTGCTGTGGATCCAGAGCTTTCTATTCTAGAGAAATGAAATTCTATCCAGTTGAAGTCAGAACCTGGAAGTTGCTAATTACTAGCTGTCTAATCCTGATGAAATTAACTTCCAGGTATGTTTCTTATTTGCAAAATGGGCATAGAAAT